AAAGAGTGTAGTCATTGTTTCGTCTCATTGAAAAATGTGGTATTATGTATGTTACCATATAGTATTATAAGAACATAAAGTATAATAAATGTCTTTCAAAATGAAATAGTTCCTAAATCTTTTCTCTGATTGTGTTTATTCTGCAGAGTGAGAGTTTGTGTAAGAGTCAGACTCTGAGCTCTTCAGACAGTGAGACCATAGTGAAGATGAGTCCAGGGCTGGATTCAATTCCTCTCAGTGAGATAGATAAAGCAGCAGTGCTCACGCTGATCAGAGAAGAGGTAACGCCAACATCTGCCCGGTGTCTAAACTGTTTTAAATAAGCAGTCCCATTACAATGTATAATAGTACATGTAAACACATGGACTGTTTATAAAATTGTGTTTTTGCACCTGTAGATAATTGCTAAAGAGATAGAAGCCAATGAGTGGAAGAGGAAATATGAAGAGAGTAGACTGGAAGTTATTGAAATGAGGTACATGGGAGGAACCCTTCCCAGAATGCACCGGGGATGGTTTTATGCTCACACAAGTTTAATGCCCGCACAGTACAGTCCCAACAATGAAACATTCTAACATTATTTACTGATTTTTCCATAGGAAAATAGTGGATGAATATGAGAAGACGGTAGCTCAAATGATAGGTGAGTGATCTTCCTCTCAGAACTGTTTTAATAGAATTCTGAATATAATTTTTTAAAGGTTAAATGTTTTATGTCTGGCTTTTTTCCCAATACAGAAGATGAGCAGCGAAAGAACATTGGATCTCAGAAAAGCGTCCACCAGTTAACCTTGGAGAGAGATCAGGCCCTCGCAGACCTCAACTCAGTGGAGCGCTCGCTTTCCGACTTGTTCAGACGCTACGAAAACATGAAGACCGTTCTTGAGGGCTTTAAGAAGGCAAGATATCTTCTTTAATGTCTGAAATGCTGACTATAAATGATTCCTCTGGACATGCATTGATGTTCCTGCTGGTCTCTTGTCAGAATGAGGAAGTGCTAAAAAAGTGTGCTCAGGACTACCTCACACGCGTGAGGCAGGAGGAACAACGTTACCAGACCCTCAAAATCCACGCAGAGGAGAAACTTGACAAGTAAGAGCGATATACATCAGTTCTAATGTAACCTAATGTAATAATCGAATGTATTTTACTCTTATCGGTTGATCTCTGACCTGCATATGTTTTTTCAGAGCAAATGAGGAAATAGCTCAAGTGCGATCTAAGGCCAACGCAGAGAGCGTGGCACTGAACGCCAGCCTGAGAAAAGAGCAGATGAAGGCAGAGTCAATGGAGCGGGAGCTCGAACAGAAGGTAAACTCACACATTCACATGCAATATAACACATGCTGCAACATCAAATCGAGAAAACATTATTTAAATCCACATTATTATTTCCAGAATCAAGAGATTGAAGAGCTTTCTAAGATTTGTGATGAGCTCATTGCAAAACTGGGCACCACGGACTAAGAGGAAGGAGAATCTGCTTATATCGCCCTGTCTGAGCCAAACCCACCCTGACCAAGAATGCCACTAGATCTCCCATTGTTTTTTTTTTTTCATTTTTGGAAAGGAGTCACTTTTCCATGGGTCTGGCTCAGGCACTGGAAGAAACAAGATATGAGCTGAAGAATCAAATAAAAGAGTCCCAAATGTTTTTACAGATTCATAAAATGCTGATGTTGGACTTACACCTATATTTGGTGGTATAATGTTTCTTGAAGAGGGTGGGAAACACCACCCACATATTTGATTCTGATGTCATTTCTGCTGGCTGTTATGGCAGCTGTGTATGAGTGTTTGGGAGAGCCTCTGGGTGTGTGTTCAGATGTAAAAAAAAACAGACATGGGATGAGGGTCACTAGCCTTGTTCATAGTTTACATGATTGCACTGCTGCTATTTGTAATGGAGGGAGCAAATCATATTATTTACAACTTTTTAGTTACATTACTTGCTTTGAAAAGTACTGTAACCTGTTTAATTATTTGGCTATATATTATAGGTTCTGATATAAATTTGTGACCCTGGACCACAAAACCAGTCTTAAGTCGCTGGGGTATATTTGTAGCAATAGCCAAAAATACATTGTATGGGTCAAAATTATTGATTTTTCTTTTATGCCAAAAATCATTAGGATATTAAGTAAAGATCATGTTCCATGAAGATATTTTGTAAATGTTCTACTGTAAATATATTAAAACGTAATTTTTGATTAGTAATATGCATTGCTAAGAACTTAATTTGGACAACTTTAAAGTTTTCTTTAATATTTTCTCAATATTTAGATTTTTTGCACCCTCAGATTTCAGATTTTCAAATAGTTGTATCTCAGCCAAATATTGTCCTATAATAACGAACCATACATCAATGGAAAGCTTATTTATTCAGCTTTCAGATGATGTATAAATCGCAATTTCGAAAAATTGACCCTTATGACTGGTTTTGTGGTCCAGGGTCACATTTAAGGAATGTTCTGAGTTCAGTACAAGTTGACAGCACTGGTGGTATAATGTTGATTACCATGAAAATGTTTCTGTTAAAAAAAAAACACACACAAAAATCTGGGTTACAGAACTCCTAGCAGAGGTGCCATTTACACAATGGAAGTGAACGTAAATATAAACATGAAAATATTCACTATTTCAACATTATAGCCACAAGAAGTACACAATATGCATGTTAACATGATTTTAGTGTGAAGAATTGCTTGCTAACCTTTTTTTGTGTAAAGTTAAATACAATTACTAAATACAATACTTAGTTGCCATTAAAACGTAAAGCCTTAAACACTAAAACCCTAAAAAGTATGATTTAATTAGCTTTTGAGCTCAAATAATATGCCCGTTTCAGCAAACAAATTAATATAAGTGCTTTTATGAAATTAGAAGCTGCATATTTCTTTAAATCCCATTCACTTTAATTGTAAGAGCCTCACCATTGCCTCAATTTTAGCTTTTTTTTCTAAAGAAAAGAAGGGATGAGTCAAAATGAGATTTTGTGGTAGTCAACATTCTGCCACAAATGCTGTCGAATTTAACTCGTACTGAACCCGGAATATTATTTCACTGAGTAGCTTTTAGCATATTCAACGCTGTTGTTGAAGAGTGTTCGTAGACGTTGTAGTTCCATCCATTGTTTTCTTACTCTCTGTGTGTTTAGGTGCCAAATTATCATAATTTATCATATTAAGCGTGCTCTGGTGTTACTAGATGTTCTGGTGGGTGACTTATTTCTAGCCATGAGGTCATAATCATCCAATCAAATGCTTGCTTGCTAAATTTTACAGCACAAAAGCAAACCTAACTGAAAGCACTTAAACTTTCTTTTATTAATGAATTACTTTGGTTTCAAAGTCTGCATGAAGTACAGAGTTAATCACAAGTTTACACTCTGTTTAATTGTGCTGTGTCGACTGGACCGAATCATTTTCAAAACATTCAGTGAAGTAATTTCAAGAATTGACAATCTTTTGCCGGACTTGCTAAAGTATGTGCCTAATGCTGAAGTGATGCTTTCTATTGGCTGTTGCTTCTTTTTTACCCACAATTCCTTTGTGCTATCTTATGCAATATTTCAGCTCAGAATAACCAACTGCCAAATGAAACCACTATTCATGTGCCAAACATTGACAGGTCATGTGGAGAAGTCGAGCCTGTAAATTGTCATGTTGTTGTTTCAAGAGCGTGTTGGTGTTCTTTACGGTACTCACTGACCTGTGTATATTTTTATGAGAACATGTTCTTTTATTGTATTAATGTTTGTAAAGTGGAAGAGAAAGAGAGAGTTGCACAGAAATCCTGTTGACTAATATATATTTTGTGCATAAATGCATTCACTGAATAAAATGTAAAAAATCGCTTGATGACACTGGTTTTGAATTTCATATAAATATTGGTTAACAACACTTTACAATAAGATTCCATTTGTTAACATTAGTTAACTACATTACATAAACTGACAAAAATATTTTATTTATTAATTTAAGTTAATATTATTTAATGGACCTGAGATGAACATGAACTAACAATTTAAAGTTATTTTTAGTGCTGTCAAATCAATTAAATGCGATTAATCGCGTCCAAAATAAAAGTTTGTGTTTACATAATATAAGTGTGTACTGTGTATATTTACTTGCATGTATATATAAATACATGCACATGCATGTATATATTTAAGAAATATTTACATGTATGTGTATGTATATATATATATATATATATGTATATGTTCATATATGATTTATATTATACATAAATATAAGTACATATTGCATATATTTCTTGAATACATACATGTATGTGTGTGTATTTATACATATAAATATACACAGTGCAAACACACACATATATTGTGTAAACTTAAATTTTATTTATTTAAAACAATTTAAATTTATTTAAAACAAAATTTTATTTTAGATGTGATTAATCGATTTGACAGCACTAGTATTTTTATCAGCTAACATTAACAAAGATGAATAAATACTGCAATAGATGTATTACTTGTTGTTAGTTAATGTATAAAATAATGTTAACTAATGGGACCTTTTGGGTTTCAGTTTACAGAAATGAATCTCATGTTGTGAGTGTGTTGCATACAGTAGCTAATCTCTTCTTAAGAGGGATATCTGGTGACAGGGTAGACTGGATATTAATATGTGCACTCAGAGAGATTGTCCTTATGTTGAGGACAGATATACTGCAGTGAATTCAATCAAAACAGTGTTGTGCAGCAAATACACAAAATATGAAAATATACTGTACACAGATAAACATGATTGGTGAAAGTGGCCATTCTGTGGCCTTTTGTTAAGTATAATTGATTTGCATAAATCTTGCACTAAATTTTAAAAGGAAATCTGCATTAAAACTATATTGAAATATCCAGATCATAGATCATTTCCCCTTTTTACCGGTGCAACCCCCTTCATCCTCCATCTGCCCTGGTTTGCTGTTGCTTGCGCAGATGCGTAGTGTGTGCTAAGCCGGTGTAATGCTCATGTGATGGATGCTCACTGTGGGATTATGGAGAGGTGCTGAGGTGTTTTGGAGTTAAGACTTCCACACTGTCCCAGCACTTTTCTAATACAACCTCCTCAACATGAAGACTGTCCTCGCCACGCTGGTCCTGTTCGCCGCTGTGCTACACAGTGAGTATCTCTATAGTACCAAATAGATCCAATTACACATTATCAAAATAGTTTCACATCACTTTATGGTTATTAATGTAATGCTGCCGTTACTTTAAGTGTTAATACTCCTGTAATTGAGATTACAAAAATACTTACAGTAATGGGCTAGACTTTATTTGGTAGCACTTTATTTTAAGGTGTCCTTGTTACATGTACTTACTATTATTATAACAATTAATTATGCATAATTACATGCAAGTAGCCAAATCCTAACCCTAACCATATAGTAAGTACATGTTGTTAATTAATATTACTCAGAACTTAAAGGTATAATTACACTTTAACAAGGACCCCTTAAAATAAAGTGTAACCCTTTATTTTAAGGTGTCCTTGTTACGGTGTCATTATACAATCAAGTACTGAGTAATTTGAATTAAATTAACAACATGTACCTTTTTGGGTCACTGGGTGTAACTATGCATAATTTACAGTTATTACTATAATAAGTACGTGTAACACTGTAAAATAAAGTGTCATCCAAAAATAGTTACATATAAATAAAATATTAAGTTTTTGTCACACATGAGAAATCTGTGTAGGCTATACATTGTTACAAAAAAGTTTATTATTACTACTACTGTTGTTGTTTATAATAAATATGTATTAAATATGTAAATAAAATCTCATTTTATATACATTTTGCAACGCAGCAACAATAATTCTTATACAGTAGTAATACAGCGGATAGCAAAACATTCATTTTATTTTCCTACTGTCCTTGTGAAATGATTAATAGCATCTGTATCAAGTTTGAAGTGGTTTAATCTCAGATCAGCTGTGTTGTCTTGTCCGATGTGTGAAGGTGAGGGGTTGAAGTGTCACACCTGTGTAGCAAATAACCTGGACGAGTGTTTCCGGCAGGGCTCGACTGTGTGTCCTGCTCATTCAGATGCCTGCTCTACCATCACAGGACCCAGTGAGTACATGCACACACACATACAGTACTTCATACTGCAGTTCACATGTTGAACACCTGGGGTTGACACCACTCCTGACCAGTTGCATAAACTTATGCCAAGGGGTAATCAGTCTTACTTTTTCCAATATTAATAGGACCAATCTACCTTTTCATAACGGAACTTTAAAAATTATGACCAGTCTTGAAGAAAAGAAAAAAAAAAAAAACATTTTTAAGACTAGTCTAAACAGTTTATGCAACCGTCCCTATGTCTGTGTTGTGTTTCAGTTTAATATAGTAAGGGAGACTGGGGCTAGTTGTCACATGTTTTACTCCAGTTTATTCCAGTGTGTTTATTTAATTTTTTAGAAAGACCATTTCACACACCTTAAAGACTTGGTTGCAAATAAAGCTAACCGTTATTGCAGAATATTGGTTGTGACGCAAATCTGCGATACACTATACAAAGTAATTAAACAGTAAAGATTAATGGCAGGTTTAGTATAATTTCAACATTAAAGAAACTAGTTTTAAAAAGATAAATTCGTATAGCTGCTGGGAATCAGCGATTAAACAAAGAATTCACTGACGCGTAATAAAACGTACAGATTATCAAAAAGTAGGCCTATAGGTTTAACTAAAAAACATTAGCTATAATAAATATTAGTAAATGTTATAGTTACAGCATAGATACATTTCTGTTTTGTATTTAATAATACATTTCTATCATGTAAAACACATCACAACTTGCATAAACCTGATATTCCCTTATAAAAATTAACCACCACCTTTAACCATGATATTTTAGTAAAACTGTGGTTATACAATTGGTAGTCAATACGTAAAAAAAAAAATAAAAAACCATGGTCACTTTTACTATAATAAAACCATGGTTAATTTGCATAAGGGTTTACAGTATGAATAGTATGGCTGTATATGAAAATTTCATTTGGAAGACTGTATTTATAAAAATTATGCTGATTAAAAACTGATTAAAGCCACTGCTCAGAAAACAAACAATTATGCATTTTGTCTTCTGACTCAACCTGAGACACAATTCTTGTGACAACTAGCCCTGCTCATCACTATTGCATAATACTGCTTCTGCTGGGTTGCACATGTGCAAACCAAACGTGGATTATTTGACGCATCCTTCAGCAATGTTTGGCCTGAGCAGATGTTTTTGTAAGTGTTGATTTGTAGTGCCCCTCTAAACCCACCATGTGTTTTCCTCCCCACAGACTCTGTGATGAAGTCATGCGCTTACAAGTCCTTCTGTGACAAGTCTCACATGAGCAATGGGGAGATGAAGCTGGAATGCTGCTTCAATGACGACTGTAACGGCCCTCACCGGTCCCACAGCCACGGGGAGCACTACAACACTGCCATGAGCCTGAGCTCCAGCCCTGTCCTGCTTCTGGGGGTCCTGCTGCTTAGACTGGCTCTCAGTTCCCTGTAAACCTGAACACAGAGACCCTTAGTCATGCATGTATCATAAATACATGAATAAATGATGGAGGACAGGTGTTAATGTAACTGATAGATGAGCTTTTGTCTGTTGGACGGCAGAATAATCTGTGTGTTTTTGCTGTTACACATACAGGGGTTAAATAAACACTGCTTAGATTTGGTGTTCATCTCTTTTATATTCTGTTGTATGTGAGCTCAAATGAGCATCTGCTAAACTAATGAATACATTAATAAATGACCAGTTAAAATGTTGATGGTCTGTCTGATTCGACTTAATAGGCTATCTGTTCAGCTATCTGTACCCTCTGAATGTCTGTTTCCAGTAACGTAACCATGGAAAAGTAAGCATCCGCACGCGGGGCTACATATGGATGTGCAGCAGACACATGGGGCGTCTGTAACTTTCATCATGTGGTAGTGATGGCTGGTTTCAGATTGCAGTGCTGGTGGGAGGCGGAGAAACTCGTTTAAAAGTGTTGCAGGACACAAAGAGGATCAGCGCTGCTGCATCCAGCTGCGGGTGTAACTTGGAAGACACTGACAAGTTAACGTTACTTCACAGGAACAACGTTTCCTGAGGTAAGTTTATGGCGCGAATCAGAATTACAGGCTATGTAGTATTTAATAATTTATTTTTTAAATCGAGTTGTGTTTAAAACCCTAATATAGCCTACTGAATATATCTTGTGATGCTGACATCCGAGTTGTTCTTTTGGGTGTCTTTAATAAAGTGCCTATGATATTTAACATACCCGCCGCATAACCGCTGTAAATATGTAACGTTAGGCTACATATTCTTTTAAAAAGGTACTGTCGTGTGCGTACAAATGCACTCGTTGTATTTATTGGTTTTGAAATACTTTGTAGAAAAAATGTATTTAATGATCCAGGTGATGTCAAGTGGTGTAACCACTTATACTAATGTATTACAAGTTATATTAACGTATCACAAAATGTATTATGCCTTAAACACACGTGACTGTGCAGAACATAACTTGTGCAAACATACATATTGAAGAATACATGTTGGAATTACAATTATACTGTATTAACTAACGTTAGCCTACTTATTTCGAAATTTAATTTGCGGACAGTTATACCACCTAGCTACATTTTAGACAAATGACTTTTAATGCATCGCATATCATTATTATCATTGTATACTATTATGAATATGTGACCCTGGCTGTGAAAACCCAGCTAAAGTCAGTTTTTGTGATTTGCTGTTTTCTACATAAAATCATTCTTCATAAAGTAAAGAACATTCTGTGAAAATGTAACCTTGATATCTTTAATATTGACTGAGTAAGACCATGTCAAAGATTGAAATCATAGTGAAATTAATGGTTGAAATCAAACTTCGATGCTTGTTATCTCATAATTTGATTTTGAGACTTGAGGGCGAACATATTTGTCTCCGAATAGCACAATTGCATCAAATAAGACAATTAATCTGTAATGAATGAATGAGAAATCAATCATAAACACACATGAAGTAAATGTAAGGAAGTTTTCAAACTACCAAATTAGATTAAGCTTGCTCTGCAGCAATGAGCTTGCAGTTTTGGGATAGTGATGTTAAAAGTCTCATTAATTTAAAGGGGTCATATGATGCGATTTCAATTGTTCCTTTCTCTTACGCCGTTCTCAAGCCTGCCTGCCTCCGCTCACTCTAGGCTGCCGGCCACCGCTCACTCAAGCCCGCCGGCCTCCGCTCACTCAAGCCCGCCGTGTGTGACGCTGTGTGTTTCGTTGTGAAAGTGAAACCTTAAACCGCATAAACACATTTCATTACACCAAATACACCAAATAATGTTCTTTTTAGCAGCATCATATGACCCCTTTAATGCAGTGACTCACTGACAAGGCATCTTTTAGTGATTTGTTTGGGAACAGAATCCCTTAGGGAAAGAGATTTTCTCAGTCAGGAAATGGGATATTCTGTTACCTATGAGTACCTGGAGGAGTGTCCTGAACATGAATTCAGCAACTAATCTTAACATCATGATGTGCAGATAGCATCTAGTTACCCCACATGAGTATGCATGTGAATAAAACATGCATCTTAACTGTTTGTGAAAATGTCCACTTTGTTGTTTTGGCAGTTAGATGTGTATGAATAGCAGGGGTTGTTATGTCATATGTGCTGGCGTTTCTATAAACTCCCAACATCCTGGAAACCATTTGGCTGCCATTCATTGATAGTTCTTGTGTAAATGCTGAGCTCTGTTTTTTGGTGCAGAATTAATAGATAGATGTTTTTAATGCAGTAGACATACATGCCTTTGAGAGACATTAATGTCAGTATCATCAGTGTCAATAATTGTAGGTCTTGTTCCTACAAAACCCCTCTAGTTGACAGTTTGGGATAAGTGATGGAAAAAGTAAACACCCCAGTGATCTGTATACTATAGCCTCAGGATTTGAGAAATAGTGGGGGCAGGACTGACATGGACAGACAGAGTTCAGAATGGTCTCTTTATTAGTGAAGGAAAGCCCTTGACCTCTTTTGAAGACCTCAGATGCCTTATTTAATCCGTTTTATTTTTTTGCTGATTGCCAATTTAACTGGAAATTGATTTCAAATGAATTATTTCACCATTATTTATGAACAATTCCCTAAATTGGTTTAGTGAAGATTCTTGCATGTTACATTGTTAATCTTGTGTTTGTGTTGTTTAATGCTCTCGCAGGTGAAAGTTTAGCCATGGCGGTCTCTTCTGCACTGTGCATCTTTAGTCTCTTGGCTTTGGTTCAGGCTCAATCTGAATCCCAGCAACCTAAGATTCAACTCCGCCTAGCGGGTGATAAACACAAGCATTACGAGGGTCGTCTGGAGGTCTCCTACAACAATGAATGGGGGACTATCTGTGATGATGACTTCTCAATCGAAGCTGCTCATGTTGCATGCAGGGAGCTTGGCTTCCTGGGTGCTGTGGCTTGGTCCCCATCTGCAAAGTTTGGACAAGGAGAAGGTAGGCAAGAATTCTGATGGCGTATTATAAGCTTCTGTTCTATTGAAAGATCCACTATGTGGATATATTCCTGGATTTTATTGCTAATCCATTATGTTTTAGTCATTAGCGGTAATTGATACCAAACACGAAAAAGTATGGAAACAAGATTCAAAGTCAAGAGCAGACGTAATCTCATCTCTCTGTCTCTTTACCATAGAAACATGATGATTTGTCTCAATAAATCTGTCCAAAGATTGTAAATCAGTGGGTGGTTATGATTGAGCCCTATGGGAAGAGTAACAATTGGTCTTCCACTCTTATTCCACTTTCCACCGAGTAAGCAAAATCATAAGCAGCATGTAATGCATAGTGAAGGGAAATTCTGAAGGGTTCATATTTGATAACTTTATATTGACTCAAAGGAAGTTAACAAAATCTAGCCAGACTGAGTGGTTTAAGCTGGTAATTCACCCAAATAAGAAACTTCGGTCTTTATTCACTTCAAAGATCCATGACATCTTTGAGAAATTTGAAAGACCGAATAGAGACTGGGACTTTTAAGCTTCAAAATGCATCATAAAAGTCAGTCAGTGAGTTGGTCTTGAGAACCCAATCAGTCCATTTCATCAGCATAATCACTGAAAAGATTAAAAGAACAATTCATTCGTGAGAGGCAGATGTCAAGATTTTAAGTTTAAGATTAAGATTTTAACCAAGAATAAAAATTCAAAACACTTAGAGCATAGCACACAAGTTGTGAGAACATCTTTAATGATTCTTTTATGGTGCTTATTGAAAAATATTCTTCAAAAACTCACCATCATACAGGTTTTGAAATAGATAAGGTAGAGTTACAGAGTAAATTTTGAGAGTTGAAGGGAATTAAGTAGCCAGGTAGTGACACCAACACGGCATCCAAAACACAACATCTGCTGGTGATTGACAAAACCAACAATAAATGTAACTTATTATAATTGTTCTTTGTTCCACAGGACGCATTTGGCTGGACAACGTCCATTGCACAGGAAGAGAGAAATCTTTAGCCGAATGCCCCTCGAATGGCTTTGGGGTGTCAGACTGCCGACACAGCGAGGATGTTGGGGTGATTTGCAATCAGAAGCGCATCCCTGGCCACAGGTTCATCAATACCATGAACAACAACGTTGAGGTACATCAACTCTAGGTTCGCCTAATCATGTTAGTTTATTAACTAGGGGTGGGAGAAAAAAATCGATCCATCGATGCATCGCGATTCTCTCTCCAACGATTCTGGATCGATTCAGAGAATTCTGAGTTTGCTTTAGAAACACCCGTATTATGTTTGCTTCCAATTCCTCACACACACACACCACTCGAACCTTCCGTAAAATAATCTTTCATAAAGTTCGGAAAGGTTGAAGCTAATTACAAGAACATTCGCGGGCTTCATTGCACCGGATGCGCTGTGAGAGACGCACGCTTTGTTTGATGTTACACTTGAAGTGTGCGGTCTCGCCCGTTGGTATTTTCCTTACAAATGCTCTACGAAGTCATCATTTATGTGGTTTGGAATGCAGTGAACTTATATATTTAAAATATGAACCTCACTAACAGAAGGCTGCTTTCAATTTCAAATGCTGACGCGCGCTTTGTGAAGACTGCTCGCGCATGTGGCTGTGCGAGACTCCGTGTAAGTGGTTTACTGCACTTGCGTCTCAAATTGGTTTTATGAAGCAAAATTAATGTAAACACAGCCAGTTATGTTTTAAGGGATTAAATGGACAGGACAAACCACATTACTTCTTACATTTCAAAAGAGATCCGTGCGTGAATGCAGCTTAATAGATCTCCCGCTGTCTATGATATCATAGTAAAAAACAACAGTAAAGATGAAGAAAAATCACTCACAGTTCTTGAATGGACAACGTTCAGATAATCTTAAATAATGAAAGCACCCTTTGTTTGTTGTTAGTAATAGGTTTCTTTGCTCCTCTTTATTGTTTGCTACTTGCTTGTATGTTTTGAAGTTATATTAGTTTAAAATTCTTAACATACAACTGTTTTAATTATTTTTTTTCAATTTGTAATTATTTTAAAAAGTACTTAATTACTTATGTAAGGATATGTAAATGTAAGGATTTTAAGATTCTCAAGTCGGTAAACTAATTAATTAACAAGGGGGGAAAAAAGTAGATCAAGAATCGTTCTGGAGTCAGATCGTGACTCCCAGAATCGGAATCGGAATCGGAATCGGAATCGGATCGGATCGTGAGGTGACTAAATTATTAACCTGACGTTGACAGTGCTTAGTCACTT